ACGTAAAACCCCTGTCGTATTATCCACTGCTTCCTATCGCGCCACGACACATAAATGGTTGAAATTAGTCAGAAAAGCATTGAGAGAACACAATCGCATCGACGGAAAAAGGCCACAAACAGACAGTACACAAAAATTAATGAGAAAAAAATAATACCCAAAGTAATGTGTACGTAAAAGAACCAGGAGTTTCTAGCTACTTTAGCAGCTCTCATACATTTCAAGGAATTTTTGTTACCAGTGGTTCCCATTACTTATACTTGAACATTTTATAGAGGCAAATTCCCAGTTGAACATCAGGTAAAACGAATTGATTAAGTCCTTGATAAAAAATATATATGTGATCGCTGGGACAAAAAGTATATTAACCTGACATATCGAACTCTGACCCCACTCTACGGTTATCTCTGAGGAAGGCTTCAAACCACAATCCGAAACGTCAGGCGAATAAAGGTCTTGTCCCACCGATTACATCTCCTTCTCAGTTATTTCCTCAGGCTCGCATGTTCACTCGTATTGGTGGTTACGTTCCATCAAGTTTCCATGGGAATTCTGTGATGTACTCTATTCAACCTAGCACGTTTTCATGGCCTAGGGTCCTCAAAGGCATTGCCTACTACCCTAAATATACTGAACTATACTGAACTATGTTTAGATGAGAGACGTTTGGACTGAGCTTGCAAGACAAAGCATTCCCTGGCCACATAAATTTCCTGGAAGCCATGTGTAAAGCAAGAAAAACAGTAAACTATTTTCGTCATAATTCCTCTCGACTCATCCGTAAAGGCCACTGTCACAATCACGAGGTCGACTCCCGGTTATCCGGAATTGAAGCAAGAGGAGACAAAAATGGAAAATCCAAACTGTACGGAACCAGGTGCTACTCACAGGCCACAGTGACCCCTAGTTCTATTGGAAATTGCGCTCAGAGATAGCGGGACCGGCAGGGATATTCGCCTAGACTAGTAGTCGCGCAGGGTTCGAGAATGAACTCAAAGGCAGGGCGGGACTAGTGAGTTCCGTTAGCGAACGATGAACATTAATCAACTATTGTACTGACAGTTGTGATGATCGTTCGATGATCAATTTCGATGAAGTGCACCATATGCACCAATAGGTTGGTACAGTGAAAATGACTGGCTCCAGGGAGTAGTTTAAGGTGATAGCAGACGTAGTTAGCTCCAACCGCACTCGTTGCCAGATTGGATCCGGCGTTGGCCGCCTTCTCCAATGCAAGCTGCAAATACCACCTACTTTAGTCTTAGGTGACAGTAGACTTTGCGCGGGAACTACCGCACTATCTACCCTCACTCACTTTCAATAGGTGTCAAGACAAGCTCAAGGAGGCCGAGACTGATATGGCTGCTAATATTTCTACTATTACTTACTAGCAATGTGACGGTGGTATTAGTCAGAGGTGATGCGAATTAAAATCACGCTGGGGCTCATATCCCCTTGATTTCAACAAGAATTGTGAACCTGAGTTCAAGCTGTTCTGTGTAAATACACCTTTGAGACCCTGAGCACATCAGGGGTTGCCTTGGTTTCCGCCCTCTCAACTCTATCCATCAGGCTGCGTCATCTTATTGGTCAACGAAACGTAGCTCAAGTTCTACCATGCTTTCGTGTCGCATGGTGCCCCTTGCTGTTATCGGGCTAACTTTTCGTGCGAAGTCCTATGCTCTGAGTGACCTCGTCTGTGGCGTCACGAGTTAGGAGGGGGTCAGGCAGCAGCCGCGACCACAGGCCGTCTAAATTCAGTGTTTCCAATCACTCAATAGGTTCTCGAGGCGTGCAACTTCCAGGGAAATTATATTTAGTCATCGCCTTACTGACATAAACTGTCCTTGTCTTGCAATTTTTGTGGGTAAGCCATGCGCCAACTACTTAAAAAGGTATAATCCTGGCATTATTGGACTACGTATCCCAGGTTTACCATTAGTAACTTACCACGAACAGTTCTATACGCACGGAGGGGAGACTATTGCGTACTCAGCCGCCATTATCCGGCAGTTGCTAGTCTTCCAACGCTACCTTCTGGTAATCATTCCATTGACTTTCTATGTCTGAAATATGTGTAAGTAAAGCATGCTGCTGTTAATGATAACGCTTATTTACACCAACTTTTTAACCCATTTTAGGCGTCCGAGTGTGGCCTTCGCGGACTATGATATTGCGGACAGTCGGTGAGTGAACGACTTTAACAATGCATTACAGTTAGGAGTTTTGTGATCTGGGGATGTGTGCGTGTGTGTCGGCCCGCCTTCCACTTCAGGCGACTGATCAGCTAGGCGGTGGCCTGTTGCTGGTGGTGTGGGAGAGAGTGAGGTCGACCCTCAGCGTATTTCCTTCCTCACTAAAAACAATCTGAGGGTGCTTGCAGCTATCAAGGAGCGCTAAAAGCCGTGGCCCCTTGGAGGGTGGCCAGCTGGCAGGGTAACTCAGACACCGCAGTCAAACGCCCTAACCATTGATGTGCTTTGTATTCCAGCCAAGAGAAAAAGCTAGAAGAAGGGGGGGATTGGGGTGAGGGTAGGAGGGAGTGAGCAGCATTCGGGGTAGGATGAGTTCGCGCCCACGTCGTCTCATATCGGAACGGGTTTCACGGGGGGTCCATTCCCGCGTACTTGGCGGTCACGCTCATGGATCGCCTCAGATGAAAACCACCAATCCAGGGAACCACAGCAGACGCGTCTTCGTCGCGTTCCCACCCACCCTCACGGCGGCCAAGGTCTGCTACACCAA